CCCAATCAAGGATTTGATGATGTTTTAAACAAATAAATAAATGGTTTTCCTAAGGTGGCGAGTGGGGAGTGAAAAGACCAATGCAGCAGTGAATGACCGCATGAATCAGAATCCACTTATGGTCCTCAAAATCTGTAGATTTTTCTGCGATGAGGTTGAAAACCAAATAAACTTGCCTCTATGATTTGTTGTTGAAACCAAGTACAAAACGATTGCTTTTGCTGCAATGTCAAGCATTTTTTTCTGTGTTTTCCTCTAAAAATGAAGATTTGTTGAAAATAATTGGTCATGGTAGTCCAACCAAGAAGTTGAGGGAATGGCACAAATTAACCCACATCTTCTCTATCAGAAAAATAAAAATAAAAAAAAATATTTATCAAATTCTCATCTATCATAGTTGACATTCCCCATGCGCCTCCTCACATATTTACAAGATTGCACATGATACAAATTATATCTGTACGAAAAATTGATGATGAAACTCTGGTTATATGTGAACTGCTTTAAGTTGTATCTGGTGTATCTGAATAGTCTTAAAAATTCCAAGCACGAGTAGAAATAACTTGTAACTTGTAATGATCCACAAAAGTCATCTCAAACAAGGGGTCATTTGTTTTAGCATATATCCAAGAAAATTCATCTTTTCTAATTTTTTTTTATGAAAATTTAAAGAACAATTTAATTAAGTAATCCAACACCATCACATGCCTCTATAAATACAAGGTGATGAAACCATATCATATGACAAACCAAGTCTAATAAAATTCATCTTCATTAAATTTGTTCAAGAAAATCTTGTATTTTCCATCAAATAAACAACTTCATTGCATACTGGTTGAATTACTCATGCCACATTTCCTCTCCACTAATCTTTTTCGTGGAATTTGATGGATCGTATAGCTGAAGCTATCTTCACAAAAAGCCGTGGTGATCTTTAGTAAGAGTACATGTTGCATGTGCCATGCTATCAAGAGATTATTTTATGAGCAAGGTGTGAGTCCTATGATCCACAAGCTCAATGAGGATTCGAGAGGAAAAGAAATGGAGTGGGCTCTAATGAGGCTAGGATGCAGCCCTGCTGTCCCGGCTGTTTTTTATTGGTGGACAACTCATCGGGTCTGCTGATACTGTCATGACTCTTCATCTCGATGGCTCACTTAAAATGTTGCTGAAAGATGCTGGAGCTATATGGCTATAGTCACAAATGGAAACCCATATTTTGAACTACATAATAAAGCCAGCGCCAAAAACATGATTTTCACAACTTTTTCTTCCTTTTCCTCTTTCCTAGGAGCAATTTTAATCATAGTATACTATATATAGTGTGTCTACATATATATATAGAGATAGATAGCCTGTCTTGTACTCCAATTCAGTTACATGGACAAACAATTTCAGTATAGCCTTTCTGTTTTCCCCTGTTTTTTCCCTTTTATTAGATGAATTTGAATTAAAATTTGATGATGCTGCCAGCCTGCCAACTAGCTAGTTTTGATGTCATTCAAGGCATATAAACAATACAAAAATATATAAAAAGACTAATATCTAGCCAAAAACTGTTGAATTCCTTTCTCCAGAACAGTCTCTTTCTAGTATCAAAGTATCTTCGACCACTGCTCAATTTTCCAGTGCCCAAGCAGTCTGACATGTGTTCTTGTGCAGATTGGGCAGTGCCCTGGGATCCCGTGAAGGTTTTGGCGTCGACGCTTTCATGTAAACTGGATTTTCATTTTGATTTACAAGTAGTATTTTACATGAAGCTAGTCTAAAGAGTATCTTCTGCAAAAAATTATAACAGCAGATTAATAAGTAATTGCATAGCCTTTTATTTGTTGAATTTCTCGAGAATTTTGAAGTCAGCTTCATGAATATTTTTCCGCTATTGTTCACTACTTAATGGCTGCAATGTGCATCGAAATAAAACTGACAGCAACCAATAGGTTTGTCTGTACTCGCTCATGCCAGAGAAAAACGACTAGTGTGAAGATTCTGATATATCCAGATAAATGTACCAACATTCTTTGGAATAAATTTTGAACTTTTGCAATTACTTCTACATGCAGCATTCATTTTCAGTTTGTTTTTTCTTGCATTTCTGAATTCTTAACTCGTTCAGGTATGAGGTTTTAAAAAATAACATAAGCAGTAGGAAGTTCGTGATGCATGGCGCGGAACTCTTTAAATTAAT